CTACAGATGCTGACTAATTTGCTAAATGCCATGCCTTTTTTTTAATATGTTAAAACTACTCCTCAATAACCCTTTGGGATTACTCCTTCCCATATCATGTTGATGAGTGCATAGATAGGTTAAGGAATTTATTTTATGTTATACAAGTAGTAGGTGGTGGAAATAAATTGAATATGTAGTTTAACTGTTGGCTAGTGTGACTTCAAACCTTGGATGGACTTATCCTGACAGAAGACAAATGTTCTTCATTAGTTAAATATGTTCATTAGAATATTAATTTATGATTCAATGAAATACCTCAAAAAGTGGTTGTGAGCCCGGTGTCAGTGGCTCATGTCTGTAATTTAGCTACTCTGGAAGCTGAGATATGAGGATCGCAGTTTGAAGCCAGCCCAGGCAAAAAAGTCCCTATGAGACTATCTCCAATAAATTACTCAAAAAAGCTGGAAGTGGCACTGTGGTTCAATTGGTAGAGGGTTTGCCTTGAGTACAAAGAGGCTCAAGGACAATGTCCTTGAGTTCAAACCTCAGGACTGGAAAAAAAAAAGTGGGTATAGGGTAGTGGCATAACTGGCCTACTTAAATATTAGTATTAATAAAAGTCAGCACAGTTACATTATATGAACATTTATATTTTGTGAAGGCAACTTGACACACTTAGCACTTTGGCCGTTGATAGTGAGAAAAATTATTTAAATGGAGGCAGTTAGATTTAATGAAAGGAAATGTCATTACTGGAGGCTTTACCTAATTTAAAAAATACATAAGAGAGGAGAATTAATTTTCCATGCAAATGACAAAGAAGGAAAGTATTATTTTGTCAGTAGAAGTGGCACCACTGTGAGCTATAGAAAAATATATCTTCTAATTCATTTAGTTCTACAGTTTTATAAAAGTGTGTCTTTGGACATAAAAAATTTAAAAACTCTGATATTACAAATGTTACCACATGTCCTAGCTGAAGATCAAAATAGCTCAATAGCTATGTATATATGACCACATAAAATGATACTAATTGAAATGAACTCCAGGATATGGAAACAAGAGGTCTTTTCTTTTGTTGTTGACCTTGTTGTCATCTATGTACTGTATCAAGTTCTTTCTTTTTATTTATTTTTTTTCTCCTTTTCCCTCTGGTTTATCCTTGGTAGTCACTGTTTTTGATTCTTGTACCCTGCATCTTGTATATATGTTTATCTGATTTGGGAGGGAAAGGGAATAGCAAAATGGTAAAACAGGGACAAAGGCTGAACCAGTGCAACAATGATACAAAACACGAGATGGGAAATAAAATTTACAACTTCCGGGGCTGGGGAAAAGTGGGGGAAGATGGCGGAGGGGGGTAGAGGTGGGGAGGGATAGTGGAAAAAAAAGGAGTGGGTAACAGTGTTCAACAATAAGTACTCGTTGCCTTACTCATGTAACTGTAACCCTCTGTACAGCACCTTTACAACAAAATAAAATAAAAAAATTTAAAAGGAATGTATTTAAGATTCACAATTAAATGAAAGCACTGATGAGATTAGCAAATGTTGATAAGTATAAGTTTGGCAATGGGTACATGGGCTATTATATACTTCTTTGAGTTTGCATAAATCTACTTAAAACTTTTTAAATATATATATTTTATTGTAAAGATACTGTACAGAGGAGTTACAGTTACATGAGTAAGGTAATGAGTACATTTCCTATTGAGCATTATTACCCCCTCTGTTGTTTTTCCCTACTATCCCTTCTCTCCCCACCTCCCCAACTCCTCCCTTCCCCACCCCAAGTTGTAAAGTTCCTTTTCAACATAGTGTTTTGTACATCTCCTTGCTACAATGGGTCAACCTTACAACTTTTTAAAATGTAAGAAAAACAAATGTTGCCACTTGAGAATTTCTGGATATTCTTATTCTTCAACCTGCAGTTTTATAAACTGTTACTGTAATGTGGTGAGTGCTTTCAAATTCACCCAGTCCATTTGTGTAGAGGATTTAGTCTTTTAAGAGACATGATTACGATTTCTTTCCTCCCTGCATGTCTTTCATAGTGGAAAATACCACTCTGTCCTAAAAAATGCAAAGCAACTGTTTATCCTTAGCCACAGAAACTGAAATCTACTAAGATGCTAGAAAAATTACTGCACAAAACTTACAGAAAATCATTTTGTCTTTCTCCAAAACATCATTCTTTTCTTTATGTGCCAATTTTAGAACTGAGCTTCCCACTTAAGATACAATTGAGCTGAAAGATAATGGGCATTGCTGATAACCAATACAACAATAAATGTTACTTCTTTTTCTCCCACAAATTTCTTTTTTTTTTTCTTTGCCAGTCCTGGATCTAACTCAGGGGCTGGGCACTGTCCCTGAGCTTCTTTTGCTCAAGGCTAGCACTCTACTACTTGAGCCACAGTGCCACTTCTGGCTTTTTTTGTTTATGTGGTACTGAGGAATTGAGCCCAGGGCATCATGCATGCTAGACAATCACTGTACCACTGAGCCACATTCCCAGCCCCCACATCCTATGATCCCTAACATGACTAACAGGAAGATAATCCTAATATAACAGATTTTTCTAGGCTTATGAGTTGGGGTTGGGGTTGGTTGAGTAACTCAGTTCTGGTCTCATATGACATATAAAAACAAGTCTTTTAAGGGGCTCTTGGAAATATTTACTGGATTCTTAGAAAGTCAGTGAAAGGTCCTTCTTTCTAAGCATGATTTTTTGGGCTTCTATGGGATTCCAATGGCTACTGCCATATGCTGTCATTCCTCCAAGTATGTCAACATCAAGAATGGAGGAGATAGCTGGGGATGTAACTCAGCAGGTGAGTGCTTGTTTAGCATGAACAAGACTCTGGGATTGTTCCTAAAATAATGAATAGAGAAGAGAAGAGATGGATGAACCATAGAAACTTGAAGACATTTGTCAATTTCTTAAGTCTCTTAATCTTTTACTTAGTCAACTCGGGTAACTTTAACACAATTTGAAAGACTAGGTGGATCAAAGAGCCAAAATTTCTCACAGTTCTGGAGCCTATGATGTTCAAATGCAAGATGTTGCTGGATGACTGGGTTCCTGGTGAAGGCTCTCTTCCTTGCATATAGCTGCCTACCTTCTTGATATGTCCTCAATGGCTTTTGGTGTGTGAGCCTTACAAAGAGTGCTCTTCCTTTGTAAGGCTATTTATGCATTTGGATCTCATCTACAACATCATGTAATCTTAACTATTCCTAAAAGTTCTATCCACATTTTATCCTTAAAATGCCACACTGGAATTAGAGCTTTATGATGGTTCATTTTTATTTTCAACTTGATTAGATTGAAAGCTGCCAAAGAGATTAGTAAAGCATATTTCTGAGTATGTCTGTGAGGGTATTTTTAGAGAGGATTAAGACTTGTCCTGAATGTGGGCAACACTATCCAATAGGCTGGGGGCCCAGACAGAAAAGGAAAATTAGGAAAAAGCAATCACATTCTACTTCCTAGTTGTCATGAGGCAAGCCAGGTTCCACCATATACTTTTGCTGCCATTTTTCTCTGCCTCTCAGCAGACTCTGAGCAATAAAGCACTGGCTATGAAGCAAAACTTCTGACTCCTATAAGCCAAAATCAATCCTTACTCCTTTTATGCTCTTCTGTCAGGTATCTATTCCAGTGGCAAAATACTTAATAACTCAATCTTCAGAATATGAATTTGCAGCTGATACAATTCAGTATATAGCAGATAATATGACCCATGTCCTGTTGTTACTTAAACAAGTTTATTTTTTCTGTTATGACCCAAGTCCTGTTTTTACTTAAACAAGTTTATTTTTCCTGTTACATACAGCTGGATATACCCCAAATTAATATTTCTTATGAAGCAATTCATAAGAGATAATGTCTATTTCATGGCTTATAACTTGAGAAGAAGTAGGGCTATTTTCCATTCTCCAGAACAAAGCATTTGTAGAGTTAAAATGGTTAGTCTATTGCTGTGATTGGGCATTTCATGAACTGCTGTAAATATATGTGGTATCATGTTAACATAAACAGTTCAGCCCGTAGGGAGTTTTAAGTTATAAAAGAAACATTTTTTTAAGATCATGTGCTCTGATAGAAAAACCACACTGCAGCCCAGTTCTACCATTATAAAGTGCTGGCAAGTCAAGAGACATTAGCTGGTGATTTTATCAAGAAAGGCTTCTAACTAACAGCTTGATGAATCCATCACTGTGCCATAAAATCCTGTAACAATTTCAGGCAACAATTCCTTTGGAGAATTCAGTCATTTTAAATCATTATGGCTTACTCATGGAAAGCAGTATCTCATAGATCACCACAGTCCTACAAATAAGAATACCCTCTTACTTTTTTTTTGCCTGAAATAAGTGAGTTATATTTTTTCTTTCAATTGAAATTTAGTTTTTAGGACTATCTTGAGCAAAAGAAGGTGAAGTATAGATGTTATCACATTGGAGGAAAGTTCTCCTGAAATATTTTGCCTTGCATTTTAATTACTGTCTGTACAGAGTAATCTACCCTTTTTTCCCTCTAAATGAAACCTAAACAGCAAAATTATATTGGAGTAAAGAATTTCTTACTTTAGTATATTTACCTTTTATTTCTAGCCAGAGAGGTGAAAGATCATCACTTATCAAACTTACAAAAATAAATAAACCGAATAAACACAAATCGAGTTCCATCAAGCATGGATGATGAATGATACATTTGCATATACAATGACCCCTATTAAAGCAATCGAACACGGACCATTTTGAAATCTTAAACCCATTGACATTATTTTCATGAACTCAGTAATATGAACCATGTGGTGAATGATTTCTGAAAAACTGCTGGTTTCACTGTGTATTTTATGACTGGGCAAATGAGACATTAAATTTTATCCCCTGTGGCTTGGAGTTAAATGCTTGCTCTGTTCAGAATGGCAACACTCAATTACACAGCATTTTTCATGATCTACACCCACCATTGTTACTGTATTTAAGGCAAATAATGGGGGTACTGACCTATATTGCGCTTCTTATTATCAACGGAGATGAAGCGTATGCAGGGATTACTGGTGATGTACTTCCCACCCCAAGGGACATCAATCTTCGTGCCAGCTTCATAAAAGAGGCCCAGGGCATAGCGAGAGGAGTAGCTCACGGACTCTAGTTGCTGCCTTTGGCATTCACTAATGACTGCAAAAGAAAAAACAAAGGGCATCAAACTTGAAAATCATCTTTTCTTTCAGCACACCAAATACAGTGTTTCCTTAAACCAGTTATTTCCACCAAACTTCATCTTACTGAGTATTGCTTTTGCAAGGTAATATAAAATAGCCTCAGTTCTAACTTATTTTCAGAATGATTACTAATGTCGGAGGAGCTATTTTTTATAAGGTGAAGGCTTAGACTTGTTTGATTGACTATCAAAGCGAAACCTGGCTAAGTGGCTTTCCTGGACTGATCCTATTTCTGGACCTTGATCCTTGGACTGTCTGGAAACACATATATTTGGTATACTGACCACCTACTATGTGACATAGTATTTCACTCTATCATCACAACATTTCCACGAGGTAGAGTATTATTTCTATGTTACAAGCTAGGATACTGTGTTCCACCTACTGTGACTTTTTAAATTTTCTCATGTCATATAATGTTGGGTTTATTTTGCCAGTGGATTGTGATAGATCCTTCAGCAAAAGAATCACACCATGGTCATTTTTGTGATAGACACTTTCCTACTCACTAATAGCACAAGGATAGAACTATAAAAGGACAGAAAGGTAAATACAGCTATGCACTGTGTTGATATGATTAATCCATGTACTGAATGTCTAAGCAGTAATGAAAAAAGAAATTGCACAGACCTGGGGTCAATCTTGACTCTGCCACTTACTAGCTATGTAATGTTGATTAAGCTACTTAATCACTCTGAATATAGTTTTTTTGTCTATAACTGGCAATAATCAGACAGTCTGCATTATTGTATTGTGAGGATGAGAAAATGATGCATAGCATGGTGCTTGGTTCATAACAAATGTTCATTAAATAGCAACTTTTTCTATAATAGACAAACATGTTTAGGAAAATGAGACAGATTACAACCTGGAATAGAAAAGAAGAAAATGTCCCAATGCTTAAATTCTCATCTCTACTCCGACCCCTGAAATGTCTCAGGGGCTGTTTACTCTGAGAGTAGGTCACAGTTCTATTTTGGAGTTCAGGCAAGTGAGTTCAAATATGGAACATACAAATGATTTTCATTTAATTAGTGACCTGAAAGAGTAAGGGATAAACAGATCTCAATAATGGGAAACAACTTTACTTAAATCTTTGCAAATGATTTTAAGTGTAGAGAGAGGCAGGAAAGTATATTCAATAAGTTATATAAGCACAGTAACCATTCTATTACCACCTCAAATACATTTAGGTTGTAGTTAACAAATATTTTAGAACCAGGGTCTCACTTAATTTTCACCAAAGCCCTGCCAAGATAGGTATTTAATCATCCTCACTTCATATCTCCAGGAAACTGAGTTTTGGAAAGGTTAGTTAACTTGCCCTGGGTTCCACAGTGCCCACAATGAGGAGTCATGGAGAAATGTTCATTACCTCACAGTTGCCCCTGCTAATCTTAGTTTCAAAGTGGACTCAAACATTGCTTTATTCTCTGACATTAATACGTATCTTGAATATACAAGTAAAAGTCATTGTTCCCTTTAACCATCATTTTCTGCCTTTCAAAAAGGTTTAACTACTCAATGAATGCACGCTCTTCTGACATTAATGTCATTATAATCAACGAATTTGGGGTTTTATTTTCATTATTAAAATTTTGTTTTCCAAGTTATGGTTTGGTGTTATGTTTATTATTCTTTGGGAATAGGTAAGAGGCAAAGACATTAGCAATTAAAATTAAGTTCACACCACTAATTTTCCCATTTTTAAAGTTAACAACCAGCCAAATAAAAGCTAACAAAACAAACAAGCAAACAAACATGCCAAATGCCTGTGGCTCATGCCTGTAATCCTAGCTACTCAGGAAGCTGAGAACTGAGGATTGTGGTTTGAAGCCAGCCCAGGAATGTCCATGAGATTCTTATCTCCAATTAATCACAGAAAAATCTGGAAGTGGTGTTGTGGCTCCAGTGGGAGAGTGATAGACTTGAACAAAAGCATCTCAGGCAGGGCCCAGGCTCAGAGTTCCCCAGAACTGGCCAAAAAAAAAAAAATCAGCTAAATACAACTGTGTTTAGTGAGTGATCTAGAAAGAGAAAAGAGCCTCAGGTTTTATTTTTAAAGCCAAACTAAGGGACCAATCAGATTGATCACCAAATTGGACCTTCACCTATCCCCATCAATATTTGTGCATTTAGCTAATTTTTAGCCAGAATGTCCAGTGGTAATTCTCATTGGGGAGCTCTTTGAAAAGGTAATAAGCACCTTTATAGAAAGAACAATTAATCTCTAAACATCTTTCTTTGGAGGCAAATAGCTACAATGGATGCTGAGAACAGGAAGGTGAGATTTCTGACAGAAACAATCTCAAGAGTTAGGCCATATTTAAAGTTTGTTATTGTTATAGTAGCAAGACCTAGCAATATGGTCTCGTATGGTATGAAAAAGGTCTTTATGCAGAATGATGTAGGAACTAGTCTTAGATCCCCAACACATATACTGGTAAGCAAAATAATTTTACTATCACATATTCGCAAAGCATGTTTAACTCACAATGGGCTTATTAAAAATACCTAATTCGAATATAATAAAACTTTACCTGAATGTTATCCTCATTTGATTCTGAAACAATGGGATTATGTAATCTCAGTAATTATAGTATATATTTACATATCACATAATGCCTGCAATTATGTATTATGCATTATATATGTATGTGTGATATACACATATATATATACATGAATTATAAAACACATTTTTATGTGTTATAGTGAAAGTAAAGATTGAAAACTGGAACAAATCAAGTAGTTTATATTCATAATTCCAATAACCAGGAGAATTGTTCCCATTTCATTCTTCTTATGTGTATGTCCTGTGTGTATGTGCATGAGTGTGTCTATGTGCATGTAGATATTGCTAAATAACAATATATTCATTTATATTGAGCTCTGGAAGGAGGCACAGCAAAATACCAAACTGGAGTCAAATAGGACAATTTTCTGAAAAAACAAGGAATTCAAAGAAATGAGTCAAATGGGGCTCAATCAGGATGACAGGGTCTCCTCTGCTTGAACTCACATAAGGAAACTAACCTGAATAACCCTGATGTTAGTTAATATTCTTTCTGCATTCTATTAATAGTTTCTTTGTCGCTGCTCAAGCGGCTTTGGTAGGTATATAAAATGTATTGTGAAAAGTATTTGATTCTCTAGGGCATATATTTAACACTGGAATTTGTTTGAATACATTCAATATTAGTGGCAAGTGCCAAATGATTATACCAATTCATGCCTCTTACAAGGTATATGAAAGTTCAGTTGCTCTCACACCATTGTCAACATTTGCTACTATCTGCTTTTCTTCTTCCTCCTATCTGCCTTTATAATCTGAAGTGTCATGGTATCATTATGTTGTAGTTTTCATTTTTATTCCTCAATGATGAATATTTGGGAAATTTTTCTATCTTCATCATTTGGATATCTTTTTATAATTACCTATTCAAGTCATTGCTCATTTTCTTTTGAAATGTCTGGGTTTTTTTAATTGTCAAAGAAGGAATTCTTCATTAATTTTGGATATAAATCATATGGATAAATGGAACATATCTTTTCTCTCCTCAGGAGCTTCTACCCTCCTTTGTTTGTTTTCAGAGTTAGCATATCCTGCCTCCCTAGAGGAGTAGCCAGGGTGCCAGTCTCATAAAAGTTAGCATACATTGATTGTACAAAGGTTTCATTGTAGTGATTTCATACTTGCATGAAAATCCTCTAAATTGCTCTATCCTCCTCCCTTTAAATAATGTTACCAGGTTTCATTAATTTATTTTCACATATACACAGAAAGTACCTTGATCATATGCATTCCCTCTTCAACGTTCCCCTCCCAATGGTTCCAACCTCCAATTTTGTCATTTATTTTTTTTAAGGTCTAGAAAGATGAATATTGTTCTCATATACAGCTTGCAGTTAATTTGCAGGAAATTTGTTTTTTGTTGTTCTCAAGCTATTATGCATGTTTCTATGTTTAGACCTTTATTGATATTTCTAATTATTTCCTTAAGATACAAAACTATATATAAATATAATTTTTATTATTTTTAAGTAGTCCAATTATTCACTGTTCAATTGATATCATTTTTGTGCCCCATTTAATAGCCTATGAAAATTCTCTTTTAGGCACATAGTGTTTTGTATTTTCTTTATGGTTATGAAAGCTTTACTGACTTCTCTACAATGGGGTTCTGAATATTATTTTGAAGACCAGGATGACATATGACATTGGCTTAGAAAGGTTGTGCAAGGGAAAGAGATCAATGGAAAGGCATGTGCAACATTATTTGTTATCTGCTCTTACTTAAATAATAACATAAAAATTACAATTAAAAAAAATAAGACACTACATTGAAAGTAACTGGAAAGACCTTTGTATGTCCAGGATCCAGATGTACTTATACTACAAAGTCAATGGACATCTATATATTTGTTTATACATATACATGTATATATACACATATATACATATATACACACAGTTACATCATTCTTTTAGAAAATTTGGTAGGTACATGAAAATATGACAAAAAAATCAAAGGGAATGCTACTACACTGTTGATGGAAGTGTAAACTTGTTCAACCATTCTGGAAAGCAGTATGGAGGTTCTTCATAGAGCTAAACATAGAGCTCCCCTGTAACCCAGCAGTCCCACTCCTGGGCATTTACCCAAATGACCACAAACAAGCTACCAGCACAACTATGTTCATTGCAGCATTATTTACCATAGGTAAAGATATGGAACCAACCCAGATGCCCATCAGTAGATGAATGCATCAAGAGCACGTGGTATATATACACAATAGAGTTCTATACTTCAATCAGAAAGAATGACATTGTCTCATTCATAAGGAAATGGAAAGACTGGGTATATTAAGCAAAATAAGCCAGGTCCAAAGAAATGTTGGTTGCATGGTTTCCCTCATTTGTAATATTTAGAATATGTTTATGATATTCTTAGC